ACATACCTAAGAGGGCCTGATGACTAAAAATACCTAACTTACGAAGTCTCCCGGGTGACAGCTGTACACAGTGCCATAAGAAGGCACAGAGAGATCTTGTTTCAAGACTGTCGGTGCAATGACTAGAAGAACTATGTGGACGCCTATCCGTCCTGACACCTGCCCCTAGCGGGCACTCTCCTGGACTGGAGCCGCCGCTGCTAATATGACATGGGAACGTTATCACCCCACGGGAATATTTGCATGAGGCCAGTGTGTGACACACTACAAAAAAACAGTGCTGTCCCACGCAGGTTTGCTACAACCAGTCAGGGCGGAGAGTTCTATTTGTTAGTCTTGAAAACTAAAATAAGTGAGCCTAACATTTTAGATCTGAACCATGCTTCATTATTTTGCTACATTTCTCTCAATTGCATATTCATTTCATAAAAAAAACACACAAAAATAGCGTGAGTATCGAGCACACACATGCTTCTCTCCGGCACTCTCTTAAGACAGTCTGGGAAATGACTTTTTCGTGATGTAATCTGTCTTCTGATCACCCTCCTTCTGAGCTTTGGTCCTCAGAAAGACCAGGCTCGCATTTGTCTATTTTGGTCATTATGTACTGGCACGTTGGCCGAGGAGAGTAAGAAGAGAAATTATGAATGTTTATTTTTGAACGCTGATAAAGCGATATAAAATGTTTCAGTGAGGCAAACTTCACAACGGGATAGGTACAAAGGATTGTACTGTAGAGAAGACATGTCCAAGTCCTGGTAGCTACGATGTTACAGGAGTCATAAGCCTGGCCTGCACTGTGCCCAAGGACAAGCAGGTGGACAAGGGACAGTGGGACCCAAAGGAAGACCCACCAATCCATGATGTCCTGGCATTTGTGGTAACCACACAGGATGGCATCGTTAAATTAGGACAATCCAGGAGGATCACTCCCCTGAATTTCACACAAGCAGGGACTCATAGTCGCCTGTGGAATGTTCTCAAAGGGCCTGTGCACCCCTGCCCTGGTGTCATGCTCCTAAAAGCTGACACCTCTCTCTAGTCCTTCTCATACACCTCCCCTCCTGCTCTGCTCTCATTGGGTGAGTGTGCACCCAGATGCCCCTAACCTAGCCAGGATAACTGCTCTAGAGACCAGAGCCCACAGAACCAACCGGCCCAACCTATCTAACCTATAAATATGGCGCCACCCAAGTCGTGGTTGACTATGTGACACACTCACAATGAACATATACAAATGCACATACATGCACATACATACACAATCATACCAAGAAAGTCTGCCTGTTCCTTTCTGGCCAGTTCAAAGAGTATTTCCCCTGGCGCTAGGGATTGAGCCTAGGGCTCTGCACATACCAGGGAAATACTAGGCCAGCATGTGTCCCTAGCCTTTGGCTTGTCGACACAGAGTGTCACTATATAGTTCAGGCTGTCTTTGGGTTTATGCTCCTTCTTCCTAATTGGCTGGCATTACAGACATGAGCCACCACACCGGCTAAGACATTTCTATAGTTTCCTTATGAATGCATATACCTCCCTCCTCCCAACAAGACATTTTCTCTTCTTAATGACATTCTGTTCTGACGTGTTTGGTCACCTATGGTTATGGAATGAAGACTATAGTTAGGGCTCGATATGATTTATTATTTACCTCACGTTCACTGGTTGATGGTGCTCAGCTGCCTACTGCGTGCTGAGCTCTCAAGTTTGAATGCCCTCACATGATGAAGACTAGCCTGGGCTGAACATCCCAAGTGGCTTACGGACAGTCAAAACTGCTAATGTTTAATGGCAATTCAGCTGCCAGAATCCCTTCACCTAGGGCTTTCCACATACTGTGGGCTTCTCACAGCACGGCAGTTGGTTTCTCAGTGGGCATGTCCTAAGAACAAGTGTTCTGATAGCAGGAAACGGAGGCTGCCAGGCCAACTAAGGGCTGTTTACAGGACTGCTGAAATCATCTTTGTGTACTCAGTGGGCCAAAGCATTCCCGAGCCTGTTCCAATGGAAGGACGTAGAGAAATAGACCCATGCCTCATGTGAGAGTGCCAAGGTCCCATTATAGACCTCAGGTGACAGGAGGTGGTGCTGTGGCCGTTTTCACAAAATGCAGTCTGTAGTCCTGGAAGCGGTTTTGTATCCCCTTCCCTTCCTTTTGCTCTGGCTAACATCTTGTTCTGTGCCCACATCAGTTCAGCCCTCACTATGCTGCAGATAGCTCATTGTCAGGGCCACCTTCCAGCTCCCCAACTTCTCTCCACTTTCCAAGCCTGTCTGATTCCTGGCTTCTCACTCTAGGCATTCCACAAGTGCAGCCTTGATGATGTCACTCCATAAGCAAAAATCTTTAGGGAACGTTTATAATCCATCGGCCAGTGGTCTTGCTTGAGTGCTGTTGGGTTCATGCACACAGAACCTATAGTTTTGTAGCTTTCAGTAACAGAACAGAAGGTTTTGCATTAGCAACCCAGGGTGAGCTCTAAAAACATCTGAGTTCAATTCAATTATTCAGTGACTGTGGTCTGCTGCTACACATACTAAACAGAAGGAAAAGTCTGCCACTGTAGGGAGTATTGCTAGTTTCACAGAGGCAGCAGGAGACTAAGTTAGCACAGTGCCTAGAATGATTGTGTAGAATGCTGGATGGCGGCGAGCTCCGGGGAAGCTGAGAATGGTGCAGCTTTACAGCACATGGTCGCTAAAGGCCTCCCTGAAAGGTGACATGTGAATGTAAGGAACGAAATTATCTGGCTAAGAGAAATGTGGATTTCTAGAATGTGCTGTGCCGTATTGGTAGCCAGTAGCCATATGCTGCTATCTAAATTTATGTAATTTAAATTAAAGTTAAAAGCTTAGTTCTTCCGTCACACTTCCCACATTTCAAGTGTTCAGTAACCACAGGTTCAAAAGGACTAAAAAAGCAGATCTAGAATATTTCAGTGTGGTGAAACATGGCAGAAGGCTGGTCTGCAAGTGCAGGAGAGAGCATTGCAGAAGGGTGTTGTAAAGGCAGAAAGGCAGGGGCAGTGGGGCTCTGGGGGGCTTGACTCCAAGAAGGGGCGTGAAGCTTGTATTTGTAGATTCCTGCTCGTCCTGATGTCTTGTGTGTGTAGTAGAGTGAGCTCAGAGCTTATTCAAAGGTTAGTTCTCAGGGATGAGAGGGCAGAAGCCCCACAGATGGGACTGAACGTTAACTCCAAGGGTCGTGGAGGGCTGCTGGGAATCAAGGGCCAGCCCTTCAGCTGGCATGTCACAGGAGGTTTGAAGTAGGTGACATCTGAGAACTCGGGGCAATGGCTCAGTACCCCCCAGAGCCTAAGCATCTGGACATAAAAACCTGGAGTCCAGTGTTGTGTGTGGATGCGGAGTTTCATTCTTGCACAAATCTGCGCCATAAACATTTGAAACCTTGCAGTAAAGATACATGGGTTAGGGCGGCAAAATTTAAGTCCCCTGCAGTAAGTCATCAACAAAAATTCTATCCCCCTCCTACTTTTTAATTATGCTATTGCCTTCTCTAACAGGACATACTTCTATGTCCTACAGGCTCTGTGACATCACCTAGGAGTCTGAACCACAATCTCAGATCTCCTGGAAGGCTCCCCCTTTCCTTCTGCCCGCTTGAATCTCCTCTGGGCCTTAGGAAGCAGTGCAAACGTCCTGCCCGCTCTGGGTACGCCGCTCTTGCTCTTCGCTCTTGCTCTTCGCAGGAGGCTTTAGTATTCACATTCACTTGGCAATTAGCAGGACTTCGGGCGCGACCTGACTTCCTCATGGTCTTTATCTGCGGCAGGCTGAATTTCCCTTCCCTTGAGGACAGAGGCCACAGTGTCCCCTCTTTCCCTGCCGGGCCCGCACTACCCTCGCCCGATCACCTCCTGTGTGAGAGGCTCAGGGCAACCCTGACTCCACGTCCATACTAGTCATTTCACAAAGAGCAAACACGGACGGGCCTGTCAGCTCTTGCCGGCCACAGACAGAAAGTGGGTGTCGGGGTTCACCCCTCGGCGATTCGGGGCTGGAGATCCTCCTCCCCTGGACCTGAAGGCCGTCCAGGCACGGGGTCTCCGCTCGGCGCCCGTAGCTCCCGCCTCCTGGAATTGTCCAAGCTCTGATTCACACGGCTGCACACTCCCTGCAGAAGGCTTCCAGGGAGGTCAGGCTGCGGCACGCTCTCAGGGATTCGCCTCCAGGCCGCCAGGCTTGCTCCGACTCTGCCAAGCTCCCGTCCAAACCAACACGCTCTCTCGCCGCCCACCCTCTCCCGAGCAGCGCGCCCGCGGGACCCCCGAGCTGGGCCGCGACCTGGCTAAGGGCTGTGCTGCGGGGCTAGGACCTCTCTGCCCTCGGGTCGCGGCGCAGGCCACTCCCGGCTGGGCAAGAGGACGTTCCAGGGCCCAGGGGCCGGGGGCCTGGAGGACGCACCAGCGCGGGCACCGGGCCCGGGGCGCACGCCCGGGGCGCTTTCCGCAGGCGGTGGGAGGGTCGGAGCCCGCGCTGGGAGCGGCTGAGAGCCTGAGCGG